GGGCCCTGCGCACCTTGGGCCTCATCATGGGTACCTTCACTCTCTGCTGGTTGCCCTTCTTTGTGGCCAACGTGGTGCGCGCCCTTGGGGGCCCCTCCCTGGTTCCCGACCAGGCTTTCCTGGCCCTTAACTGGCTGGGCTACGCCAACTCTGCCTTCAACCCGCTCATCTACTGCCGCAGCCCCGACTTTCGCTGCGTCTTCCGCCGCTTGCTGCGCCGCGGCCGGCGGGAGGAGGGCCCCGCTGCCGGCGCCCCTTCCTGGACCCCTGAGGCCCCCGCCCGCCCTTCCGAGTCCCGGCGGTGCCCACCGCTCAACGAGTAGGTAACGCGGCCAAGGGGCTGACAGCTCGGGATCGGGAAACACTCGGTGCCTCCTCTGGTCCCTGTTTTGAGTTTGGGGTTCGAGAGGAGGAGGTGGGGCTGGGGAGGGACTCTGCATGGAAAGAAGGGAAGACATGGATTAGGGAACCAAAATGAAAACCGAAGTCTATTCTTTTCCCGCATCTGATCCACCCGAGCGTAGGATTGAAACGAAGGGGGGCCGCGGGGTTGTTCTTCACCCCAGCGCCCCACGTGTGCGCCAGGGAAGTGCTGCTGTCCCCCAGGCCTCCGGCCCGCAAGGTCAGCTCAAGTTTTGGGTTTCTAGCCCCGTTCCACGGCCGCCCGGATTTCTTGTCACCACTCCGGCTGGCTTTGGCTTACAGAGACCATTGGAGGCCCTCCCCCCAAGTCCTTTGCGCCAGTTCTGGTTTCTTTGAAGGGTTGATAGCCAGGAAGGTGAGAATGCACTGAAGGTCTGAAGGGTCTGAGGGGAGTGAGGAAGCCACAGTGCGAGTTCTTCCAGCTGGTAGAGACAGGGCTGGGCTGGAGTCCCGTAGGCTTGTGGCTGCGTGGGGCCGAGGCTTTTGTATAATTAGGGGTTTTCAGGGTCCCTGACCGCCTGGGTCCCCTGTCCCCACCCTGTGTCCCACCCACCCCAAGATTTGCTGTCTTCATTTTTTCCAGGGCTTCCTGGGGAATTTCTTAGGCCTTGAAGGACAAGAAACAAGAGCTCCGTTGATCGTTGATCCAGAACCTTTGGAAAGCTCTGGCCTCTGTTTAGAACAACCCCCGTGGAGTTTCCCAGCTGGAAAACTCTGCCCTCCAGAACCTGATGACTGGGCCATGGATGGGGAGGTGGGGACGGACTGGGAGGAGAAGCCTTACCAAGCGGGCATTTTGCCATCCCCTCTCTTTCTTTCTGAGAGAAGACTTTTAAATCCCATTCCTGAACTTCACCAATACCTCAGCAGCTAGAGGGTCGGGCTGCCTGTGCCCAGCTGCCCTTGGAGCGGTAGGGCTGGCTTTGGCTGGGCACCTTGCTCACTTGTGTGCATGTGCTTAGGGCAGAAAGAGTACCCCTCAATCTATCCCCCCCGCCCCCATGAACCACTCAGTGTCCTCTAGGCTTAGCAGCCCAGGCTGAGAGCAGGAAGCTAAAAAAGGTCAAGGTTTGGGATTTTTGTCCCTGGCTTCCTCACCAGGGCTCTCTAAGCACCAGCCTCCCTCACTTTAGACACAGAATAGTTCCGATCTACCTCACAACAGTGTCAGAAGGACTTCTTCAGGGTTTGGGGGGGACTCCAGGGTTCATAGAAGGTGAACCATTAGAATGGATCCCTTCTTTACATTTTAAAATCAACTGAATAAATATTATTGAATGCAGTTCATCCATTGCCTTCTCTTCTCTCCATTTGTTTTCTTTCCATAATCCACTTACTTCTGAGAGCTGGCTTTCGACAGCGGCAATAAATTAGGACTAATCCTTGTTCCTTTCTTCCTAACCCTCGTGAAATGAAAATGAAACATCTGCTTGGATAAAGGGGAGCGAGCTTGAGCCGCTGATACTTCTGCCTCCCCACCCTTTCCAAAACTCCTGGAATCCAGTTCAAGTGAGTAGCAAAGCCATGTTACCCACAGGACTTGAGCAAAGTGTCCACCGGATTGCGTTTGCTGGGCTCAGGATCAGGGCACATGGAGCATATGTCAGCTCCTATGCTATAAGCCAGTGGCGGCTTCCTACGATCCCGGTGCCAGCAGGAACCAGTTTTATTCTGCACTGTACGTGTTCATTTCTGGAGGCACGGAGCATTGTTTGTGTTGGGCATATGTCTTGGGCTATAAATATATTCTGACATTTCCCATTCTTTTCCTAACCTCTACCTCCCCACTCCCTTTCCTGGGCTGCAGAAATCTATAGTATCCTCTGGAAGTAAAACTGGAGTTACAAGTTTGAGCCAGTTGATCATTGTTTTCCTTATTCCAATTTTTATGAATCTTATCAGGCAGTTTTCTATGGAAAGCACATTTTTATGGAAATCGCTGGATCTTTTTGTGACTTCTTATTTAAACCCCATTGAGCAGAGGCCATTGTCTGGACTGATATACAGGATAACCTGTAAATCATAAACAAGTTTAATGTGCTGAATGACAGCAGCGTACAATGCATTGGCTAGGTTCAGGAGCTCCAGAGTTATAAAACTTCGATCTGCCCTGAGGATAAGCTCGGTGGATGTCCACATATGGGTGTTCCCTGTGAATTGGACCTGGCCTCGGCTGTTCTCTTTTCTCCAGGAGCCCAGGTTTTATTTCTTAGGATGTTTGCATACCAAAGATGGCTTTCTCCTTTTCAACCCAGGCCAGTGTGAGATCTCTGCTGTCTGAGGTGTGGAAGGTTTCTGGGCAAGGACTCAACTTTTGAACCCTTAGTGGAAAAGGAAGTCTAGCTTTAGCCTGGGGATAAGAGGGCCGCCTCTCCTATCTCTGAATATTTTCTCAGCATCACTGAGGAAAGTTGCCTAGTCAGTCCTAGGCAGGGGAGAAGGGTGATTTGTCAGGGGGAAGAGGGAGGGAATGGAGAAGGATTCTGGTTTGTAGAACTGTTCTTGAACATTATCCAGGGACTCATACTGCTTGAGTCTTGCTTGACAGATACCCGTGTGCCAGCTGTCAGACTCCTTTGGAGTGTTTAGACTTGCACTGGAGCTGTGGACTCCATCTGCGAATTGTCACCAGTGTATCTGACAGGTGGAGAGGCAACCTCTCTGGCTGTTTCTCCAGCAACTGGTGACCAGGTGTCAGGCTGAGAGAGATTTACATCCTTGGATGGGGAGCAGGCTGTGTTTGTTAGCATGAGGCCTGAGCACTTGAACTGTGGAAGACAAACAACCATCCTCTGAACCTACAGCTGTGAAGACTTACAGGCCATTGAGAATGAAAGAGCCCGTGGAATCGCTGGTCTTGCCAGAGGCTGTTAGCAGGAGCTGGGCATGGGGCAGAAATGACAGGGAGAAGGGGGCTGAGTTGGAAGAGAGGGAGTGAGGAGTGACTGGATTTTCCGGAGACACTGCTAAGGAGCAGGTAGAATTAGGGCATGGGGGAAGCTGAGGGACTTTTCTCAGGCTCTCCCCATGGTAGATTCTTCTGGGGAATGAAGGTAAGTTCAGGCTGTGGTCCTCATGAGCACGCAGTGGGCTCCAATTCCACACCGACTTCATTCCTCAACCTCCATAGAGCAGGAGCAGCTTCTTCCTCTTGTCCTGGCGGCACAGGCGAAGGCCATGGAAATAGTGCTTCTTTATGCTTCCTTCCTGAAAACCAAAGACCCAGGCTTCCTCTCAGGCCTCTGGAGGGTTATGTCTGTGTTTGTGTCCAGAGGGGAAGTGGGTGCCTCCAATGGAGAGTATTGCTAATGCTCCCCCCACTCCAGGCATAAAGCCCTGGATGTAGTCAGCTTTAGGCTAATTAGTGAGTGCTTGAAGCATAATGCACAACTCAGTTTGATTAGCAGAAACTCCATAAGGCCATCTGACCTTTCATTAGCTCATCCTGTTAGGCGATTAAGGAAAATCAAAATGCTTCCCTCATCTATAAAATAAATAGAGAATAACCCTTGCTCTCCTGTCTTGTCTTCAGAAGGGGAATGAGCATTTCTGGGATGGTTGGCTCTCCTCAAGTTCTGTGAAGTCCTAGGCAGAGCTTACTTAGCACCTTCAGTATCTGTTCCACCCAAGGCATAAGCAGTGCTAGGTGCCCCCTGATGGCGATGTTAGGGACAACAGGTGTGAACTTTGAAATACTGGTCTGTTGAAAACATAAGGCCCCTGCCTATCCCAACGGGAAGAGACCACATACATGATTTAGACCAATCTTTTGATAAAATGGATGAAGAGACTGACTTCTAGAGAGGTGACTTGTGAGAAACCAAGATTTAAATGCAACACTGTGGTTGGTAGTATAAAGAGCACAGAATTCAGAGCTGGAAAACAAGTAAGAAAGGGAGGAGGAAACAATAAAGAATTATTTTAAAAAAATGTGGGGGGAAAAAAGGGAGGAGGAAAGAGATGATAATTTATTGAGCACAAATAAATATTACTGTTTTATTTGGTGTCACTACAAATGTTATATTAGTGACACAAATAAAAAATAGTCTCAAAAAAAACCACAGAGTTTCATAGAAATCAAATAGCTTGCGTGTATTGATTCTAATGCAGTCTACCAGACTCCAAAGTTTATTTTCTTCTCTCTGCACACACTGCTATAATCAGTTATGTGATGCTGAGCAATTTACTTAGCATCTGACATGTTGTTTGCCAGTGAATCAAGAGGAGATTTTATTAGTGCTCTACTCAGCTCATGCAGATTGGTTCTGAAGAACAAATGACTGTATGCAAAAATGGTTTGGAAACCGAAAGGGCTTCTCCAGTGTAAGTGGTGTCATTAGAATATGAAGCTGGGACTAGTTCCAGGTGTCCTGGTTTTGATCCTTGTATGGTCCTGCTTCTATCGACAGCCTGGATCTTGGACCCACTTGTCCTTGGTCACTGTGGGCACCCTACTTTATCTTTCTTCTGCAGGCTCCTCCCCACCTCAGACCAATTCCACTGGCTCCATATCCATGTCACTGAACATCTCCCCCTCTGGCCCTCTTCTCACGTTCAGACCCTGGTCTGGCTTGTGCCTGACATTTTGGTCCTGGTTTGGCTCACCCTATCATTGCCCTTGCAGCACTTACAATGAGCTAAATTTTAAAGGATGGACAGAAGGTTTTGAGACAGAGGGCACTTCCAGATGTCAGTGCTTTATGGGACAGAGTCAGGGTTCATGAGAAGGGGGCCCTAAGGAACCAGAAAAAGGAAGATAGTGTATTCGTTTGCTAGGACTGCCATAAACAATTACCACAAACAGAGATGCACTCTCTCACAGTTCTAGAAGCTAGAAGTCCAAAATCAAAGTGTTGGTTGGATCATGCTTTCTGAAGGCTCTAGGGGAGGAATCTCTCTTTGCCTCTTGCGGCCATCCTTGGTTGCTTGACTTGTAGCTGTATCATTCCAACTTCTGCCCTCATCTTCACATGGCCTTCTCCCATGTGTCTGTGTCCAAATTTACCTCTTCTTCTAAGAACACCAGATATTAGATCAGGGCCCAACTTAACTCAGTAAGACTTAATTTTAACATGATTACATCTATAAAAACCTCATCTATAATAATAAAAGGCTAATATGCTAATTAGACCAGATAGCTGAACAACCTTCTGGATGTCATTTCGGATGTCCTTCCAATGAAGCTGCAATGGCGGAGGCCAAGGCAGAGGCAGAGGCAGAGGCAGTTAGGGGAGGTCAGGTAGGTAGGTGAGTGGTTAGGGGCCATCAGGCAGGCAGGTGAGTGGTTAGGGGCAATGAGGCAGGCAGATAGGCAAGAGGTTAGGAGCCAGCAGTCCCAGATTGTGAGAGGGATGTCCGACTGCTTGCAGGGATTGGGCCTAAAACGGCAGTCCAACATTTCCTAAGGGGTCCTAGATTGCGAGAGGATGCAGGACTGGCTGAGGGACCCTGCCCCCCGCCCTGCCATGCACAAATTTTGTGCACTGGGCCTCTAGTTTCCAAATAAGGTCACATTAACCAGTTCTGGGGGTTAGGACTTCAACATATCTTATGGGGACACAATTCAACCCATAACAGGGGATGGGAGAAGGAGGATCACTGTAATGCGTAGCCTTTTCATGCTTATCTTATGCCATGAAAATCATAAGATGATTTCCAAAGCTCTGTTTCATGCTATACTCAGTCAGAAGGGTGGTGGGAGTGCTCCCATCCCTGAATTTCCATTTTTAGGCTTTTTCTCCCATATCCCTGGGCCCCAGATTGGAAAGACCACTGATAAATCAGACCGGTGTTTGTTGTCTCCTGTGGGCAGAAGTTGCAACCCATTCTCCATTCTTCCCTTCATTCTTTAGAAATAGGTCACCTAAGTTTTAGTTGGGCACATGGCCTCACCATGGATACACTGCAGCCTTGCTTGCAGCTGGATGTGAGTATGTGGCTAAGTTCTAGCCAGTTGAAGTGTACAGTTCCTCACCTCCCTTCCTGATGACTGGAATGCAGGTGTGATGGTAAGAATGGAAGTAGTCACTTTGGGTCATAAGATGGGAAACATCTGCCATCAAATGGCAGAAAAACCAGAGAGCCTGGTGTCCAACGGTGTAGAGACAGCATTATAACCCTGGACTGCTTATTTTTAAGATTCTTAAAGAAAAATAAACTTTTACCTTGTTTAAGCCACAGTTATTTTTTAGCCTTTAAAAAAAATAACGACACAACAGCTGCATTAAACAAATACATCAGTGAGGATATAATAAAAGAGGTTATGAATAAATGGGCATCTGCTTACATTCTGTGATGAATTAGGTGGGGTTACAAAGCTGCCTTGCTGTGGTTCCTCTTAGGTACCTCTGATCTGTGGGAAAGGCATCTCTGTAGCATCTGAGTTTGTGCTACACCTGTGACCACCAAGTCCATCTCTTGGACATTGATTTGTAAAGAGGCAATGATCAGTAAGTGTGTTAGTTTCCCAAGACTGCCGTAAAAATTACCACAACTTTGGTAGCTTCAAACAACAGAAATTTATTCTCTCCTAGTTTCGGAGGCCAGAGTCTGAAATCAAGATATCAACAAGGCTGGATCCTTCTGGAGGCTCTGAAGGAGCACATTTGCCTGCCTCTTTCCCAGCTTTGGGTGGCACTGGCAATTCTCGGC